GTCGTTTACTTGTGTGCAACGGCGCCGCTTGCGCCGAGCCGACGTCGAGTACTTGGCGCATTCTTTGGGGCTCCGCCACGCCACTCCCAACATGGCTAGCGGGCGCCAAGATACTCTTGTTTGCCCCCACTCTTCGTGCTCGACGTTTGAGGAGCGAAAACGCAAGTATCGTATTCCACGCGATGGGTCGCGAACCAACTGCCAAGTTTCTGAAGATGACGCTTTCTTCGTTCCACCAAGGTATTTTCTACGTACTAGTAAGTATTTCTTTGCAACAAGTTTCGTGGCTTAGTAACCATATCGCCATGCAACCTTTACGAATAAGGTAGCTACGACATAACAGAAGCAGACCACACCCCAGCGTTGGACGACCACAGCCAGCACCACATTCTGTCTGCAAACGTCAGGCTGTGAGTCATCACACCTCTTACTGGTACAACACTACTCAGCAAAGTTCGCCCGGTTAGTGTATTCGCGTCCATCTCTGGACAAGTTGCCACCCGTAGCCATCAAAACCTCGATGCTCCAATACTAGATATAGATTGATTGATTGATTGATTGATTGATACTTGAAATAAATACGTTTCAGGAGTTGGCGGATGCTTGGCGACGGTGAGCGCGATGCTCGACTGACGGTTGGGCGTCGTCGTAGACAGGGCCAAGCTGGGGACGTAGCGCGCCTTCCTCGCTGCAGCTGCGGTTCTTCGGATCGACGCCGTCGTGCCTTGGCGTTTGTTGCGACGTGACGGCTGCATGCGACCGTGATGGTGTCGTTTGTCGTTTGAGCGCTCTTGACGCGCGTCGCTGGAAACGGCGCTTGCACCGTCTTGGGCGCCTTTAGCCGTGCCACTCGCTTTGATACCGGCCTTGCGCGACAGTCTGTGGCGCCGTACCCGGGTGGCTACAGTTGATGTGCTTCATCGAAGCGTTGGTGTCGTCGCGGGGAGCGATAGGATGTCGTTGCCGTCACCGCATCGACGCGTCGGTGTTGAAGCCAGAGACGACCGGGACGCTGCTGATCTCGTTGCAGTGGAGCGTCGGTGTCGAAGCTCGAGACAACCGGGACGCTGCCACCGTCTTTGGATCGGTGTCGAGGCGGGGGACGGCAGAACGCCGTTGCCGTCGTTCCATAGAAGTACTACCGGTATCGAATCGGCTTGGAACCGCGGTCAACGATTGACGCGGACATCGAGAGTGGCTCAGCAGTGCAGCCCCCAGATAGTGCTTGAGGTACTTGGTCCCAGTAGGGTGTTGATGTCGGGGCGGTGGTGGACGCGTCGTGACGTGCCTCGTTGAGTACTTCAACGTTGCTGTCGGGAGGTGTTGCCTGCTGCTGCCCATCGCTGCCCGCGCAGATGACCTGACACATCAGACGTCGTTGCTGATGGATTTCGTGTAGAACGTTGACCGAGTGCCCGATACGCCGAGTGGTGAGGTTTTGTTGCCCCTGTTGTCGCCGATGTCGAGGCCGGGGTTTGCTTCATGCATCATCGCCGAGGTCAGAGCGAGGTGACGTGGCCACGTCGCTGGACAGAGGTCGGAGCGTTCTAGTCGTGGCTGGGCGACGTCGAAATGCAGCACAAATGGCGGTGTCACGGCCAACCGTCTATGGGCATCGCAGTCAAGTCTGTGAGGCAGTGGGTGCCTTCTTCCGATCTAGCACGCACGGCGTGCACGCCGAAGAGTTGTCCTCGTGGTGGAGGCACCCGTTGCGGGGGGTAAGGCGATAAGCGGGCGCTTCAAAAGCGCGGCTTGTTCCTGTTGCAGGGTCGCCGCACCGGTGTCCGGCGGTGCTGTGGCGCGCATGCACATGACGCACCAAATGTGCATCGAACGTGAACTCCATGAGAAGCACGCGTGCGTCGATGTTGCTGGGGCCGATGCTGCGAAAGCGCTGCTTGCTGCAAGGTGTCGACGCACGAGACGACCAAGACGCTGCTGCCATCGCTGCGTCAAAGCTCCGGTGTCGTCGGTGGAGCCAAGCGTCGGTGTTGAAGCGCGAGACAACCGGGACGAGGGACGCTCCTGTTTTTGCGTCGGAGAGCCGGTGTCGTAGCAGGAGACAGCAGGTTGATGCTGCGGTTGTGCTTGCGGAGCGGGTGCCGTTGCGCCCTCTCGAGCTACAGAGCGCCTGTGGTGTCGTGCCCGGGAGAGGTTGCGCGCAGGTGCTCTTCGGTTTTGTGGCTTTGTTGCGAGAGCTGAAGGATGGCATGCCCCAAGATCGAGACTTAGCAGGCCGAAGCCAAATTGAAAGTGTCGAGGTTTGGCTGGCCTTTGCCTGCCCTTCTAAAAACTCTATTTCTACACTCTACCGACACGTTGAAACGCCCATATCCCAAGGGTCAATATATAAGAAATGTTCTTATTGACCCTTGTATCCTCATTGGAGAACGTTGGTCTTGCGAGAGTGAGTGGTGCCGAAGAGCAGAACAGCCACGACGTCATTTTCGGCACGGATCACGAGCAAAACGCGAACTAAGCTCGGTTTCGAGAAACGATTTGCAATATACTGGAATCGATGCCGGTCCGGCGCAAGCTCATAAATGGCACCGGCGAGTGGGCACGACACGAGCAAGCTACTGAAAAGCTTGGTCAAATGCTTGCCACTTGAACTTGCGAGGACAAAGATTCCACATACTGTAGCTTCAATTTCCTATCAAGCGATGCTGACGCCATGTCTCTGCAGCACGAGTGACTTGTGTCTGTGCTGACAATGTGCAGTGTATATCAACGATTCGTTCGCCGCTGTGAGGTTGGAATCGAGTCTTTTCTGCAATTGTTCTGTCGCGTCCAGTGGGGGCTACTCGGATTGCGCCTGCGGTCGCATCACAATCAAATCGTCCGCATGCCATAAACACTTGCGAATTGTATGCGCAGTTTTGTCTATCGTCACATTATCCGGATGATCGCCCTTGACATGCAAGGTCATTTTCCAAAATGCGTGCTGTGCAATACAACATCTTTTCGCCCAAAGGTCGCCGGTTCAAGACCAAGGCAAAGACACCAACGGTCGGCGCCAAGGACAGCGTCGTCGTGCAGGTCAAGGCCGCGGCCATCAACCCCGTCGGTACGTCGAAGCCTTCCGCTTTGCCCGGCACGCTCAACATTGCATCCTCTCATGTTAGATTACAAGCTGCCGGCGCTTTTCATGCAAGGCAAGGGCGTCGGTCTTGACGTTGCTGGCGTTGTGACGGCCGTGAGCCCCGATGTCACGACGCTGGCGGTTGGCGACCGTGTCTTTGGCAGCACGCATGGGTCGCTGGCAGAACACGCACTCTGCCAAGCTTCAACGCTGACAATCCTCCCGGCGTCGCTCACCTTTATTGAAGGCGCCGCCTTGCCGACGACCTACATCACTGGCTACCAGGCGCTTGTCAACCATGGGTTCAAGGCGGGCCAGTCGCTCCTCATCCTCGGCGCCAGCGGCGGCTGCGGCACGGCTGCGATCCAGCTCGCCAAGGGTCTCGGCGCACGTGAGATTGTCGGCGTCTGCTCCAAGGCCAACGAAGAGCTCGTGCTCTCGCTGGGCGCCGACCGCATCATCGACTACAAGACGCAGTCGATCACGGACCCCGAGTGGGTCAAGCACTTTGACTTTGTCTACGACGCGGCGTCGGCCTCCGGTGGCGGCGAAGATTACCTCGTCGACTCGCAGACGGTCCTGAACGAGAAGGGCACGTACGTGGCCATCAACGGCAAGATTTCGTTGTGGCTGCGTCACTTTTTGGGCCTCGGCCAATACCGTCCGAACGTGCATTTGCTGCTGGCGGACCCAAAGTCGGTCGATTTCAAGGCCGTCGCCGACATTCTGGAGGCGCAAAATGTCAAGCCCATCATTGACAGCGTGTTTCCGTTTACGCCTGAAGGCGTCGAAGACGCGTTTGCAAAGCTGCATTCGCGCCGCGCCAAGGGCAAGATCGTGGTCAACGTGTCGGCCGAGTAGGCAGCAAGACCATCTTGTTGCCGGTTTATAATCTATTTTGCACAATTGACAGCTCCTTGTTGGTTTTTGAATATTTTGCACTAGCATGTCAAAACTTACACCTGCACCTGCGATACAAAGACCGACGAAACCTTAGGTCCTAAACAAATGTTGCATGCTGACGTTTCGGGACACGACTCGACACGTTGGCGCCAATTCAGTGATGAGCCAGACTACTGGTAGTGTGATTCGACTAGTATTTTCAGTCTGTGTCGATGCACCATGAGCCTGCATCAAGCCAACTTTTACCACCACTGCTACTGGTATTTCACGTTCGCTTGTAAAAAACGAGCACGCAGAGAGGGTGCTGGGCGTGACTTGACGGAGATGGCTTGATTCTACGATGCAAAATGCGTAATGACATTGGTGACGGAGCTATGAAGGCCGCACCTGTGAAACTTCCATCTTTCTACCTTCTATATCTGCCGTTCTTCTAGTCGTCTATTCTTCTGTGCTCACTCGCGCTTGTGAGCGGAAATTATCTTCCGTAGCCGAAATTTGAATCTTCCACATTGCCATCCAGTTGAAAGGATTGAAGTCATGAGCTGAGTTTACAAATTTAGTGCATTCTACTACTACGTGCAAACAAAAACAAATACCATATGTTCGTCCTACGCTCGCCCCTCTTCAGACGACAACGCTAAAGTCAAGCGGCTCGAGCGTCGACAGCCACGCCATGTCACTATCGCAGCTGTCCA